AACACAAGCTCTAGAAAAATATGATCACAAACCCAAACTCTGGCTCACATACGTAGATGACACCTTCATAATCTGGCCACATGGGAAAGAAAAACTGAACAACTTCCTCACACACCTCAACAGCCTACACCCCAAAATACAATTCACCATGGAAACAGAAGATAACAATCAACTTCCCTTCCTAGATGTCTTAGTATACAAAAAATCCAATGGCTCCCTAGGACACACCATCTACCAGAAGAAAACACATACAAACTGCTATCTACACACACTCTCACACCACCACCCAGCACAGATCAATTCCGTAGCCGAGACACTCATCTCCAGAACAAAATGCTTAGCCGACGAACACCTAAAAACCGAACTACACACTTTCACTAACGTACTAACAGCCAATGGATTCCAAAGAAAGAAGATTACCCACCTAATCCAAAAAGAAACCCCAACCAAAATCCAAGACAGAGAACAAGAGAACGGCAAAGCCCTCCTCCCATATATAAAAGGCACTACAGACAAAATCATCAAGATCCTCCAAAAACACAACATTAAAACAGCATTCTGCACAAACAGAAAAATATCCACCATCCTAAGAAACCCTAAAGACAAAATCAAGTTAGAAACCAAGGAGTATATGAAATCCCTTGCACCGCCTGCCCCACAACATACATCGGACAAACTAACAGAAGAATAAGTGCACGCATTGAAGAACACAAGAACTCAATCAAAAAAGAAGAACCGACCTCTTCCCTGGTCCAACACCTCAAAGCCACAGGACATGAGATTGACTTTAAAAATACCAGAACTATCACCAAAACCGAACACTTCAACAACAGAATAATCAGAGAAGCCATAGATAGAAAAACGCCCACACAGCATGAATAAACGAGATGATACCTCCCGCCTACCAGCCATTTGGAAACCCGCCCTCATGAACAGACGAGTACCTAACATGAAGAATGACACCAGACCCACACCCACGAGGGCCACACAAGATGCTACCACCACACTTCCACGTAGAAAGCAGACTCACACCCACACAGAAGATGAGACACGACCACGGACCAGAAGCCGTACCGCAGCTGCATCACTACCCACTTCAAACCCCTCCGACCCATACAGGAAGCGAACTGACGCCCACCATGAAGATGTGGCACGACCATGAAGCCAAACAACAGGATCACAGCTCACCAGCTCAAATCCCCCAGCAACTAAGACTAACCTGAGCACAAACAAGCCCCCACCTGAACAGGACACACCCCCAGCCAATCAGAACACAGCCAACCTCCCTACCAATCAGAACACAGCCAAACCCCCAACCAATTTGAAAACACCCCCACCCAATCTGAACACAGCCAAGCCCCCACCCAATCAAGTCACACCCCCACTAGCAGTTAAAAGGAAGAAGCAGCTGCAAGCTCACATTACTCCGAGAAGCACAAAGCCGAAGACACAAGCCTGAAGATGATGAATGAGACTTCATCGAAACGTTGCCTAGATACTTCCAATCTTACGCGGGAGAAAACCCGAATAACCAAATATATATGTGTGTGTGTGTGTGTGTGTGTTTTCTTAAGTTTTCGCGGGTACTTACATGTATGGTATTCAGCTTTGTTCGGGTATTTTCCCACGTCATTATATTTGTGCTTTTAAAGCTGAATACCATACATGTTAAATACCCGCGAAAACTTAAGAAAACGTGTGTGTGTGTGTGTGTGTGTGTGTGGTATTCAGCTTTGTTTGGGTATTTTCCCACGTCATTATAGTTGTGCTTTTAAAGTTGTAGCAACGTTTTGGCAGAAACATCTGCCATCATCAGGCTTCTGTATAGTGTTCGTCTGTGAGTCACAATCTCGTCTGTGAGTCACAATCTCTCTCTCTATATATAGATTGGTTTGCATCTTCTCATTACTTAGCATGAAATATTTTTAAATTTCTCTTTAAATTAGATTCCTTTTCTTTAAATATTTGTATATAACAATACTTTTAGAATTACAGGTGAAACTCGAAAAATTAGAATATCATGCAAAAGTTCATTTCAGAAATGCAACTTAAAAGGTGAAACTAATATATGAGATACTCATTACATGCAAAGCAAGATAGTTCAAGCCATGATGTGTCATAATTGAGATGATTATGGCTTACAGCTCATGAAAACCCCAAATCCACAATCTCAGAAAATTAGAATATTGTGAAAAGGTTCAATATTCTAGGCTCAAAGTGTTCCACTCTAATCAGTTAATTAAGCCATAACACCTGCAAAGGGTTCCTGAGCCTTTAAATGATCTCTCAGTCTGGTTTAGTAGGAATCACAATCATGAGAAAGACTGCTGACCTGACAGTTGTGCAGAAAACCATCACTGACACCCTCCATAAGGAGGGAAAGCCTCAAAAGGTAATTGCAAAAGAAGTTGGATGTTCCCAAAGTGCTGTATCAAAGTACATTAATAGAAAGTTATGTGGAAGGGAAAAGCGTGGAAGAAAAAGGTGCACAAACAGCAGGGATGACCGCAGGCTGGAGAGGATTGTTAGGAAAAGGCCATTCAAAATTGTTGGGGACTTTCACAAGGAGTGGACTGAGGCTGGAGTCAGTGCATCAAGAGCCGCCACACACAGACGGATCCTGGACATGGGCTTCAAATGTCGTATTCCTCTTGTCAAGCTGCTCCTGAACAACAAACGTCAGAAGCGTCTTACTTGGGCTAAAGAAATAGACTTGGTCTGTTGCTCAGTGGTCCAAAGTCCTCTTTTCTGATGAGAGCAACTTTTGCATCTCATTTGGAAACCAAGGACCCAGAGTCTGGAGGAAGAATGGAGAGGCACACAGTGCAAGATGCTTGAAGTCCAGTGTGAAGTTTCCACAGTCTGTGTTGATTTGGGGAGCCATGTCACCTGCTGGTGTTGGTCCACTGTGCTTCATTAAGTCCAGGGTTAAAGCAGCCATCTACTAGGAAATTTTGGAGCACTTCATGCTTCCTTCCGCAGATGGAAGGAAGCTTTATGGGGATGCTGACTTCATTTTCCTATTAGGACCTGGCACCTGCCCACATTGCCAAAAGCACCAAAACCTGGTTCAATGACCGTGGGATTACTGTGCTTGATTGGCCAGCAAACTCACCTGACCTGAACCTCATAGAAAATCTATGGGGCATTGCCAAGAGAAAGATGAGAGATATCAGACCGAACAATGCAAAAGAGCTGAAGGCCGCTATTGAAGCATCCTGGTCTTCTATAACACCTCAGCAGTGCCACAGGCTGATAGCTTCCATGCCACGCCGCATTGAGGTAGTAATTGCTGTAAAAGGGGCTCAAACCAAGTACTGAGTACATATGCATGCTTCTACTTTTCAGAGGTCTGATATTGTTCTATGTACAATCCTTGTTTTATTGATTGCATGTACTATTCTAATTTTCTGAGATTGTGGATTTGGGGTTTTCATGAGCTGTAATCCATAATCATCACAATTATGACAAATCATGGCTTGAACTATCTTGCTTTGCATGTAATGAGTCTATCTCACATACTGGTTTCCCCTTTTAAGTTGCATTACTGAAATAAATGAACTGTTGCACGATATTCTAATTTTTCGAGTTTCATCTGTATTAAAAAGAAAAAAACTTGAGAGTTTCCAATAAATTCAGACAGCAATGTGGCCTTCTATGTTGAGAAATGGTTCACAGATTCATGCCAATTTCATTGTCCCATGAAGGAGGCTCACAAATAAAACCAGTAATATTTTCACAGCAATCAACAACACACCTTGCAAAATGCCCAAAGTCATACAAGTGTGATGGGCTGCATAAAAATTTGATAAATAAAATTAATCAGTCTTTACATTTACATTCTAACAAAATAAACAGCTGAGCCAATACACTCTGAATTGGACAATTACCACTGCTGTGTCATAAGTCAAAATCCAGCAGGCATCTCTTTTAATTAATCCAAACATAATTGCAATGTTGGTATTTGCTTACCCTCTTGGCCCTCCAACGGAAACCACCTGCAGAGGAAATGGCCCCCTGCTTCCTCCTCGACCACGCCTGCTTCCAGCCCAGTGGCCCACCACAGTGCCAGCTATTTCAAGCTTCCCTCCCTGAGAAGGAATGGGTTGGACACCTAAACCAAGATTTAAAAATGTGTTATTCAGGAACAGGAATTTAAATGGAGGAATGCTATCATCTCTGAAAAAAATATTTTTCTTTTTACGAGTGAAATCTGGCACATACCTGCATAGCCTTTGTGTAGGATTTAAGGCCACTGAGATAAGTGGCACAGCAAACTCAAACAAAATCCAATTCATTCATTTTTGTGAAATGTGATACAATGTAACTTTATCATTGGGTAAACTACTTTTACAAAACTTTGTAAAACAAATTTTGCTTCCACAATCCTCTTCCTGTTGTCAATAAAGAGTATTTTGGGGTTTGCTGGCATGTAAGTGAATAACTAGGGGCTACTAAGATAGACTCAATATTTCAAAGAAAATATTTGGATTTTTAATCCAGTTGTTTCAAACTTTCTTATTGAATAACTTGAAAAACAAAACAAGATGTTTGAGAATCTCAAATGTTTAATATTTACCAAAAAAGGAAAGTTGCATTAACTAATATTAAAAACACTGAAACAAGGTATAAATGCATTCTAAAACCTCCAGAAAGCTTTTCTTTCAAAATGCATCTAATTTTAAATTTGAACATTTGTATTTACCGGTATTGCTACAATTTGCTATTTTATTTTCAAACAAGCATTTCCAATGATCCAAGGAAGGAACATTAGCTATACCTCACTAATTGAGCTAATGGCAAAAAGGTTAAAAGTAGTTAGAATCAGAAGTAATGTAAATGTAAATTTACTGATGACTGCAATGTTGATATAGTCAGAGAATTTCATTCTTTTTTTGTATTTTATTATCTGGTAACAACACACAGCAACAAAGCTACTAAGGCTACTAAGCAATAAATAGCAAGTGCAGCATCTAGCCAACTTGATTTCAAAAGCTAAGCAAAGTTAGGCTAGTTAGTTCACAAATGAGAGATTACCAGGGAATTTTCAAAGCATCTCACAAAAGATGAGTGGCAAATCATTTTCATACTACCAAGAAAACTGCATGGCTGTAATCACTAGGGCCGAAGCTCATTCTGAGGACAACCTTAACTTTAACTGACATTAAATGGATCTTTAGTTTAGAAACCACAAAGCAATATGTGAAAAATAATTCAAATGCAGGAATTTTCTATTCTACCTTTTCACATACACTGAAGAAAATGGGAGAACTCTTTCTTTAAAATATGTGCTTTATTTTAGAAAGACAAACTCATACAATGAATGTTGGAAAGTTCCAGTCAATGCACTGCTGCTGTGAGCAAGAAGAAAAGGGGATTGTTGGTATTACCGCCCTGAAACTTGCTAGTCCTGTTGCCATCACTGCCAGAGAAATGTCCACAGTGTCCTCCTGTGGCAGTCACTCGGAAGGTCCGATATGCACCTGCTGCAACCGTTTCCCCATATGGGCCCCCAAAGCCATAGACTCCTGTGAATAGGAAAGGGACAGACCCTCTGTAAGGATTAATTCCCAGACTAAAGGTCTTTATAGGTAATAACTAACACCTTGAATTAGACCAGGTGGAGACCATCAGGTTGTGCAGAAAAGGTGTTACAATGCACCACTTGGTTTGCCTGAGTAGCCATATTTTATACTAGCTGAAGCTTCCAAATTTCTCTTTCTCTTCTTCTTTCTCTCTCTCTCTCCAGATGCTGTCTTATTTATTTATATACAAGTGCATATTATATACACACTTGGCCATTCTGTATTGTACTATGCGCTTTTAAAATACTGCTATTTTTAAAAATTGTCAGCTGCGCAGACCCATTTTGGAGCCAGATGGCACATGAATCTGATTTTATCAATCAATCAATCATTCTCTTTTGCGATGGCAATTTCTGATGCATGTCAATGTTATATATAAAGAGCGATTAAAATCTGAAAATATATTTTTTAAATGTCTATTCTTAAATGATGAGATGGATAATTTATATTTTATAACTTAAAGCATAATTAAATTACATATGGAGTCCTTAGGACCTTGGTTGTTTTTCTGCAATGTTTCATTGCACAACTTGGTAACTTCTTCAGTGCGAGAAGGGATTTGCTGTTTATATGTAGTGGCCTGCCCTGTCAGTGTTGGGGGGGAATGCTATTTTCTCCTCAGTTGTCCCTTGGTTCGTCTGCTGTTTACTGCTTGATCGTTTGTCTGGTGTTAATCCTAGCTTACCTGGTTGTTGATTGCTGGTGATATGTTTGTTTCCTCTTTAGCTTTTTTATCAACTCTTTTGAATGGTATGTAAATGTTGTTTATTTCTTATGTATAAATATGTGTGTGTGTGTGTGTGTGTGTGTGTGTGTATAGGTATGTAGCTCTAAGTGTGTTTGGGTCTTTTCCCGTGTAAGATTAAGAGTATCTTGGCGACGTTTCGGACCTCGCCGAAACGTCGCCAAGATGCTCTTAATCTTACACGGGAAAAGACCCAAACACACTTATACCTACACACACACACACATATATTCTTAAGTTTTCGCGGGTATTTATATGTACGGTATTCAGCTTTGTTTGGGTATTTTCCCACGTCATTATATTTGTGCTTTTAAAGTTGTAGCAACGTTTCGGCAGAATCTCATCTGCCATCATCAGGCTTCTGCCATCATCAGACGAACACTATACAGAAGCCTGATGATGGCATATATATATATATATATATATATATGTGTGTGTGTGTGTGTGTGTGTGTTCTTAAGTTTTCACGGGTACTTACATGACCAATTTATTAGTATTAGTATTTATTATTTATTATCTAATCTCTCTTTCTATAAATAACTTTCAGGGTAAATTTCAATTGATTATTTTTGCCAGTTCAAATTAAAGTTCAATTGATTATTTTTGCCAATTGTTTTAATCTGTATTGATCTGCTTGACTGATATTCCACCATTCCATTAGGAGCTGTAGGTGATAGATGTAGGGTTTCCCCCTCCATTTTCACCTCAAAACTATGAGTTAGGTTGGTCTGAGATGTGAACCTGAGACTCCCTAGTCTAAAATCTTAGCCAATACATGCTTCCTGCACAAAGGTCCTAATATAACCTCTCATTAATTTATCTTGGATTAACTATCCAACAGTGACGCAATCTTACCAGTGAAGCCTCGGCCTCTGCCCTGAGGTGGAACTGGCCCAAAGTGCCGAGGATAAACAGAAGCTGGATAGAAAGGCATGGCAGGTGGTGGTGGGAAAGGGAGTGGATGGTTTTGCCTGGAGAAATTTAAACCTTCAAGGATGCTCTGGCGCATCTTTTCTACCTTGGCAGCTTGTTCAGCCTACAACAAACAATATGGCACAACATATTAATACTATGAATACAAATCAAGTATATTCATACATTTCTAAATGGCATTATTGCAGGTAACTAACCAAGTTATTGACAGTATTTGCAAACATTAAATATTAGGGGACAGAAAATCAAGACATCAACAAATTATCTCCCTATAACACAAAATTGTTTCCCATATAATGTTTTATTTTCTTAACAAAATATTGAAATCAGTATATCCTCTGTACATTTTGGAAAATAAAGAGTATCAGAATACCCAGAATGATTTGAAAGCTTTAAAAATCTTTCAAACTAGTGTACATAAAATTTGGATAATTTGAATTTTAGCTAATATATAGGAACATCAAAGAAAGACATGGTTCTCCAGAATGTGAAAAATGCCATCTCCACCTGAGAAACCTTTTTTTAAAAAGAAAAAAAAAAGAAACAATGCATCCCAGTTAACAAAAAAGAAAGAGCAGATTCTGGATCACTTATGTGGTAAAAAGTAAGCAAATATAAAATTTGTAATGTTTCACAGATCACCTATATATGTCTGTACTTATAGCAAATTACTACAGATTAACTATTGTTAGTACACAGAATCATGAATTTTAAAAAAGTAAATTAAAAAAAAATCCAAATCAACTCAAATCACTGCAGCACAAAATAATTATCATTTTAAGGATTTGAACAATTAAGGATTAACTTCTTTGCTTGCACACAGATATACTTATAACAATCTACATTCAAGCAAGCTTTCAGCATGATATCAGGTAAATATACATTCTATTATATATTTAATTATATTTGCCCTTAGGCTAAAATCCTCTGCCTACAAATGAATTTGAGCTCGTTGCCAAAAGCAATCATACAGACTACCTATTTGTCCATACACATACACATTCAATTAAACTATCACCCACCGCAGGACCAACATTACCTGACCATCACAGAGGTCAATGAGGGGAGCTTTCTCCCGACTTGCTTTGATGAGCTTCGTCTGGAACAACTTCCCATCAAAGTACATCCATGGACAACAATGCTCCCATGGAATTGGCTGCCCACAAGCATCATTGGCAAACAATGCCATGTCAACACCACTCATGAATAATGCTGAGAGCTGAATTCCTCGAGGATCTAGGTTTTCAATCTTAAAAACAAAAGTGTAGAACTTTATTGATTAAAGTGTACATAAGGATACAAGATTAAAGAATTAAAGTATAGACAAAATGTTAAAATAGATTTAAATAATACTTTTAAAAAGATATAGCATGAATTTCTTGCAGTCATTGCTGTTAAGCAGTTAGTCTTGTTTAGGAATTTGTGAAACAACCTATAAATCATATACCGTATATACTCGAGTATAAGCCGAGTTTTTCAGCCCATTTTTTGTGCTGAAAAAACCCCCCTCGGCTTATACTCGAGTCAGATTCCCCTCTGAAAAAAAAATGGTGTGGAGCTCCGGAGCTGGGCAGGCGCTTCCCTGCTTCCGTGTTTCCTTCGCAACTTTTAAGCATGGGGGTAATCGGAAGCAGAAAAGTTCTTGCATGAGGATATATTTTTTCTTTTTTTAACTGTTTTTAGGGGGGGGGGAAAGACCCACCGTCATGTGAGAATGCTCAGACACGAAATCTATCCGCCCGAAAATAAGTGTGTGTGTGTGTGTGGGGGATTTTAACAGAGGGAAGATGTAGGGAGAAGGCAAATGCGACGGAAGATCCTTCAGGGGAAACTGAGGGGGAGACTCACCCTTGGTCCAGATGAGCCCCCTTCCCCGCCCCTAAGGAAGCAGAGGCAGCCAGCAAGGGCAGGCAAGCCCCACTTCACAGACTCCGTCCGTCCTCGCTCCCACCCAAAGCCACAAAGTCCCCCAATCGCGCAGCCCAGAATCGCCCTCCCCTCAGGGGGCAGCGACGCCCGGTTTTTCCTGAGACAAGAAGCTCCGCCGTGCAATGAAAGCGCCCTGGCTCTAGGCTCGCAGGCTCAGAAAACAACGTGAGCCGAGGTGGCTTCGGCTCCGCTCGGCTTCTCCAACATCCGGCGCCACCGTTCTATGTGCCGGGCAGGGCAAGTCCGAGCAGCCAGCACATAGAACAGGGCGGCACCGGAGATCATTAGCCGCCTCTTTCGCAGCACAAGAACAGGGTGGTGCCGGACCATTGGAGAAGCGGAGCAAAGCCGGAGATTAGTAGCTGCCTTTCGGCGAAGAAAGCTTCCCCCAACCAGCTGGCTGGTCGTCTCCTCCTCGGCCATACAGAACAAACAAGCAGAAAAGGAGGAGAGCAGCTGGCCAGTTGGGGGAGGCTTCTTGTGCTGCGAAAGAGGCGGCTAATGATCCCCGGCTCTGCTCGGCTTCTCCAACATCCGGCGCTGCCCTGTTCTATGTGCCGGGCCCGGCAAGTCCGAGCAGCCAGCGCGTGGAGCAGGGCGGCGCCGGAGATCGTTGGCTGCTTCTTTCGCAGCACGGGAGGCCTCCCCCGGCTGGCCAGCTGCTCTCCTCCTTCTCTGCCTGTTTGTTCTGTGTGGCCGAGGAGGAGGAGACCGGCCAGCTGGTTGGGGGAGGCTTTCTGCGCCGAGGGAGGCGGCTGCTGGTCTCCGGCTTTGCTCCGCTTCTCCGATGGTCCGGCGCCGCCCTGTTCTTTACTTGGGCAGCCGAGCGCCCGCAGCGGCGCCCACGGCGGCAACAGGCAGTTCCGCCCGGGCTCCGCTCAGGTGTCCGGCTGGGGCTGTCGGGAGTTGCTGCCGCCGGTGTGGCTCCGGTCCCGCGTTGCCTTGGGAAGGGTGGGGCAAAACCAGGAGCCGCTGAGCCTGAGCCTCCGGTGCCGCTGCTGCCGTTGCAAAGCACTGCCGCGGCTCTTCCTTTTTGCCTTTCCCTTCCCGAGGCGATGCGGGACTGGGGCCGCGCCGGCGGTAGCGACTCCTGACTCAGGGGGCCTCCGAGGGGAGGGGAAGAGAGTGACTCCTGCCTCCCGCTGTCATCATCATCATCTTCTTTTGGGTTAGTGAATCAATTAAACCTTTCATAATGAGATCGTTTCCCAAATTAATTATTTTTATTTTTGAAATTTACCAGTAGCTGCTGCATTTCCCACCCTCGGCTTATACTCGAGTCAATAAGTTTTCCCAGTTTTTTTGTGGTAAAATTAGGTGCCTCGGCTTATATTCGGGTCGACTTATACTCGAGTATATACGGTAGTTTGCTTAGCTATTCTCTGTATATTAGTGAGAAATACCACAGAAATCTGTGAGTGCACATGAATTAGAAATTGCATATTAATACTCACAGCATTTAGCCAACTACAGCTCATTTCCACACCTCACCCAAGCTAAACAGAATCAAATCGGTTAGTACCTAGATAGAGAATCACTAGGAAAACTATACCAGGGCTATAAGGTAGACTGAGAAAAACTATTATAGAGAAGACATTATGGCATTTCAATATTGCCAAACGAAATACATGAATGTGTCTGTGGAGTTACACCTAACTTAACAGAACCTTTAACATTCTTCTATCACTAATCCAAAAGAGGCATTTGCACAGACATCTAAAATAGCAATGCATGTTATTAGGATGTCTGTCTTTCTCTTCTGCCAATCCTGCACAAGACTTGACTTTAAGAAGAGATGCTTGTCCCTCCTCCATCACAGAAGAAGTCCCAAGTTCTTTAAATGATAGACAGCCTGAAGTACTGGAGCTGCGTGAGGTTCCAAACTCTGTTTTTGTACCCACCCAAGCTCACTTTCACCATTGCAGCTGAAAACCAACACCTCAAAAATAAACAAATTAAAAGTTCAAAAATAAAATCCCTATAAGTTCTGTTCATATCTGCAATGTTGTTCTCTGCAGCACTTGATTCTCCCCAAATGATACCTGGAGTCTGTAGATACTGAAAACTCACCTATGCTTGGATTAGGTATTGAAATATAACATGTTTTTGCCACTTTAAAAAGAATAAAATTTGTCCCAATTACTGACAAATGTGAACAGTGAGTGGTGTGATTAGTTTAGCTATAGCACTACTACCATGATAAAGTTGGAGAAGAAAATATCCCAAAGGCAGGGGAAAATGCAAGAATGCCTTAATAAGCAAGAAAAAAATAAATTGATTTCATTGTAGAAAAAGCTTGTACAGACACATTATGGAAATTAATGATGCAAATCATTATCCAACTAACAGAATAGCAAATAATTGCAGTAAAAGTTGAGGCATATCCTTTTTTGTTATCTTAAGTACAATATTTAGCAACATTAATAAACATAATGCATGTCTTCACATTTTTTACAAGACTGTTATTATAAAAAAAATTGGGGTAGCTTTCTAGCCAAACCCAATTATTTCTCTCCTTTTCTCAGTTAAAAATCAGGAGCTGTCACTTAGTACAGCTGATGGATGATCCACTGTTCAGACTCCTCAGGAAACCCAAGATATGACTGGATTTTCTAGATAGAGAAAAAATAGGTTTCAACTATTTTATATGTGAAAGAATTCTAATAGTCTATTACAGGGATAAGCAAGCTTTTCAGATGGTATGGGGATGTTTTGACTTTTGCAACTTTGCTGCATGTATTCTCAAAAACTGGTTGCCATGAGTAGAGGCTTTCTTATTTATAAATTGGGTGTCAAAGGTAAAGATTTGCCTAATTATAAAATGGCTGCACCATTGGAGGGCTTGTCTAATCACAAACAGTATGATCAGCAATATCTCTGTCAAACAGTATGATCAACAAAATCTCTTTAGGTTTGGGTAATAGGAAGATACACGTGTAAATTTAGCACGGAACTACCTTTAACTGCCATTTTTGTTTTCTAAGAATGTTTGTGGAGTTTGCGTGGAGGACAGAGACATGATCCTAAATAAAAATGAAGCTAAAGGTGGTGCTTTCATTTCTTTAAAATGAAAGGAATCCTTTAAAAATTAAAGAAAGGAAGATATCCATAAACATTGGTAGTTGTGAGTACCATAACTAACTCTGATATAGTTTACAGAACTGAATCAACAAGTGTATTATCATGTTTTTCTCTGGGAAAGAGAGGAGGAAATATTTTGTCTGTTTGTTGCCTTGCAGTAGCTCTGGAAACACACATTGAAGGATTTGTACAGAATGGGAAGTAGCTTTGGGAAGCAGGAGACAAGTAACAACCACTTTCACTTTCCATTAGCAAAAGTTTCCAGCAGCCCAAAGTCTCTTCCATCGTCGTAGGTGTATATTTGGATTCTACCTATCAAATGTTAATTTCATTTACACTGGTACAACAATCCATCAACATCAGCCTATGTTTTGAAACTGGATAGTAACTAGATGCTATCAAAACGTTTTAGACTTCAACAGCCACACATCCTAACCAGCATAGCCACTGACCATGCTATCTAGGAAATACAAGAATTGGAATCTAATACATTTGAAGGGAAAAACTGACTGGGCCAGAACATTCAAAATTTTTAAATGTAAATTTATATATGTCAGGGATGGGTTTACCGAAAAAGAGCAGTTAGATCAGATTCTCAAGATACATCCAATGTGTCCTATAGAAACAAACTTATGGTGACAGTGTCATAACTGCAATAAATACAGTAGCATTATGAAAATGAAGTCCTATATGATGTGCACAGCATGCCATAAATCTTATATAGCATGCATTACTGTTGACCGAAAAATTTATTTTATTTCTGTCAAACCTAACTTGCTAATAAAATAGACTGTGTATACATAATTATTCTACATGCTTGAATTTTGAAAATGAAAGTACAAGTCAACAAGATGAATTCAGCCTTTTATTGTTGGACAAAATTTGAGATTTACTGTCATCCAGTATGGTTCTTTTCCAAGTCACTCACCTGTAATTCTAAGCTCATACTGATTTAACTGGGGTAATTTACATTCAGAATACAAATACTGCCTTACTGGGTCTGGCCAATGATCAATTTAGCCCAGCATCCTGTCTTCAACTCTAGCCTATATCAGACGATAGAGCCATGGTGTGAGGTAGGCCTCCCTAAGGAAGTACAAGTTGTTAGCAGGAAAGCAGTGAGCGGTTGCTGAGAAAAAGACAGAAAAGTGGGGAAGGGGAGGAAAGGGAAGTTCTACAGAAAGAAGCAAGACAAGCAAAAACAAAAATTACCTATATAGATGGGACAAAATCTTCATCAAAAAGTGCAGTTTAACAAAAAAAAAAAATCACAAACTCTTTCTGCTGAATGATTTGAATGTTATTATTTTCTCAGTTTGAGAATCTTTTGAGATTATACATTAATTATGTCATATGAAACTTTCCAGAATAACCTTGGGAACGGAAAATGATATCAATGGTTTCCACAACATGGGTATAATCGTATTTGGGTTCCTTGGTAAAATGAGCCAATTCAAATAATCTTTTAAAAAACGGACCAAAAATACTGATTTGAATAAATCCACCAAAAACTGGATGAAGTCCAGGGTGGAATTCTCTCCTCTCTGCTGCCTATTTCAGTAGAGGAAATGCAGATATTTTCAGCTGAAAGTGCCAAATACTTGTACTTCAACCTTTTACTTGAAATTCAGATATATTTTTTACCGGTAATAAAAGCTGTACACATACTCCGGTACAGATCCTTTAGCCTATCACATATTTATTTAAACATTGTAATTATGAATGTCATTTCCATTAAGGAATTGTATATGGTTGTTGACAAAGTAAGGAGACAAATTAAAAATTAAATTGTTATTTAACTTTCAATACAAAATATGTAGGGACTTTAAAGCAAGCCACATGACTACATCTAAAGCTAAAATGGGTAAAATTGTGTTTTCTATGATGGAAAAAGTATGTCTTGGATATATCATTAATACTTAGGTGATCTGCTAATTAAACAACAGTTCTTAAATGCAACAAAATCTTTCAGTATCTATCATGCATCCATCTATGAATACTTTACTGAAAATGGATGCTTAATCTATTTGGACAAGGACGTGATGAATTTTATAATGTGGTAGTAAATTATCATTTTAATAATATTAATGTAATTGCTTAAGTGGAGAAATTCAAATGACAATGAAAACTGGTAATAGGATTGAATTCTACCCATCCCATTACTGGTAATCATGATCAATATGCTTAAGTAACCATTTCTCTGATATTATTTATTTAGAAGTACATATGTAGAGGTGGAATCTTGTGAAGACATGCAGGTATTCTTTAGGAAAAGATAAAGTAAAATAAAATGAAATGAAATGAAAGGGGTGATTTAAAGGTTAGAGCTCTGAAAGCCATGATATAAAACAAAAATGAATACAGTATCAGGTAAAGAAAAGCAAAAACCAGCACATTTCCTTTGAAAATTGAAGCAGATTTCATTATCTGCAAGTTATTACTGAGCTGGTGTTGAAGGCAGAAATTCTTCCTGTCCACATACTATTTTGATGAACAAGTGGATGAAAATAGAAAATACTGACAAAAGAAAATAATACTGCTTTGCAAAGCACTTGAATTAATAAGGATTAAATGCTCCATAAAGACCAACTTCAGAAGTCACCTTTAGTTCCTGCAGTTGGTCAGGTTCATAGAGTTTTGGAGATAAAGCTTGAGCCAAGAAGGCATCAAGTTCTTGGCGACGAAGTATCCGAACTCCAGGCCACTGCACCATATATCTACAAAGACAAAGAACCCTGGGTAAACCATTTCTGAAAAGCTATGTAATACTTATGATGTCTGTATACAACAATGCTTAAATAAGGTATAGCATTAATAAAAGCACTGTAATTACATCCAAAGTAGATCCAAACTATAGATGTAGAAAATTAAGCCATTGACAGCAAGAGGCAGAAAAGTCAGAAACTGCTCCGGAGCCCATATTGTAATCTAGAACAGAAGTGGTACCAGAGAGGAATCAATGGATAGCTTTTTTCTTTCTTTCTATGAAATGGAAAAAAGGCCTTGAATTTGTGTGAGACGTGTTCTGAATTTAATTCATGATTTTACAAAACTGAAACTTAATTACGTTATTTTGATAGAAAGTACTTCTATAGGATGTATTTAATAAAATTTAGAATTTTTGTGTTTTTTACATTCTAGATCCTATGTAATCTTCCTGTGCTAATTTTAAAAAAGCCAATGAATATTAAAATTAACTAATCTAACTAAAATTATGGTAGAAGGGGCTTAGAACAGTCTGAAACTAAAAGAAGCACATTATTTTCAATGCTAGAATGAAACCGGCATGGCTGAAAATCAAGGACTGTTCACCCTGGGAGTCTTAAAATTGCTTTTGGTAAACTGCTTTCTATTTTATTCACCCAACATATTTTCAATCTATATCCTCCATATTTGAATGGATTACATCCCTACAATTATTCTCTTTTAACTAATCTGTTCTTTCCATTGTCCCTAAAAAAAAGAAATGATGCTTTGCTGCTTTCTCCACCCCAATAGGTATTTCCATGTACTTGTCTTAATTGTTGTGTAATGTAAACTGAGTAACAAACTTTTAAGTCTTAATTTGTGTTTAGTCTAAAAAAAAAGTCAATTCTACATGACAAGTTCTATCAACAAAACAATAACATTCTTACATAATTATACATATACAGCATTATCAAGAAGAATTTTTACCATATGCTAATATTAATCAACAATATACTCACCTTAATACACAACAGAGCACCATTAGGTGAGTGGGCACATTAGCTGGATTTAGCATTGCTGGTGTGTCTGACCTCATACAGGCCAAGAATGCCCTCATTCGTCGGTTCTTGTCCTCTACTGCTTTCCCCAACCAAAGCTTCTTCAAATTAGGGCAGGTCCATTCCCTAAATGCAAGAGCTTCTACTAACTCAGGAGTCTGGGGAGACTTTCCTTTGTAAGCAGCCCATTCCTTAATTATCACTGGCGAGACTGCAGAATTGGAAAAAAAAAGGAAACAAAATAGTTTATGCACAAATACCATTTCGCCAATACCTTTTGTCAGTGTATTTTATTTGCATTTATAACATTTAGACTTATACTAGGAATCAATCTCAAAAGATTTGCTTTCTTACACTGAACCTGAACTCTATTCATAACTTGCAAAATGCATTCTCATTGATACTGCCTAGCCATTACTCATATTAAAAGCCTCTCTGTTTTTGATGAATTTTCAGAATCTTAGTCCACCAAGAAGCTAGAAAGACATAAAATGCAGCAACTGCATTTTAGAACATTTAAAATCTGCAGTGTCTTTATAAATAATTGCCTGATCATATCATGTGAATTTCAGGCATTCCTGCTTGAGGATGATATTTTCTAAATATGAAACTACAGTGAGAAGGTCTATGGGAAATCCTCTGAAGATGAAATTAAGAAACACGGAGGAGACTTTTCACCAGATAGTTGGCAGTTTAGTTGTTTCTGGCTTTAACAGTTAGCACTAACATTTTGAATTAGGCCTGGCAGCCAGTATATGGAGATTACAATTGCAGAAACCACTCTCGATTAATAATCTGGCAGTTGGATTTTGAAGTAACTAAATTCCAAAACCATATGCACAAATAGCTAAATATTCAAATGTTACTTGCCCATGCATAAATTACTCCAAGTTATCCTGCCCAAGAGGGCTGCAGCTTGCGTATCAAAACTTGCATATCAAATTGAGCTGATAAAAGGCAGCTCTAACCACTGAGACCATTTGTATCTCCACTGACAAAAATTTCTCCATAGCAGAATCAAGAATATGGATGGATGAAAATACAATAACAACCTATCCACCTCAAGGAAGTTTACACTGAGCTTTACTTTATTAGCCATCATGAAGCCCATTATCCTACTCAGGGACCAGCTTAAGAAATTCACTACCTCTCCTTGATTATAAATGGCATTTCATACTGATAAGCAGGAGAAAACTAAACCCTGAAGTACCTTGTGAATGCCATAGAACAGAATAATAATCATCCAGCTTCACCTTCTGTACAGTGAATCCAAGTAGAAATACAAAATTTGAATGCTATCTCTCCCTGGCTATGGACAGCCTATGCATAATTGTCCACATTCCTGATGAATATTCAGCAATTGCAACCAATCCAGTGTGATGTTTACTGTGTTTTATTAATTAAAAATATTTTAGTGCTTTTAATTTGTCCACAGCATGATTCAAAATGCTAAATATTGCTTCACATCCCCAAATCCTTGCACTATAGGTACAGAAATGCTGAGCAACTGAAAAATGAATTACTTTGGCAAATTATACCTTTTTTATATTTGCAAATTTAAATCACTGTTATCCTACATCATAATTGAGGCAAAGAATAGATTAGTGATGTTTCAAGTTAATTCACCATTATAATAAAAAACAAATACATACATTCAGGAGGAAGTCTGTTCTTTCTAAAAGCAAGCCTCTCTGTTTTTTTCCTGCTTTCTGCCAAACTAAACAGGACTCCATAAACATACTGACGAACTGGCCTATAAAGAAGAGCAGCAGGAGGCAGGTCTTTGTTTGCTTCATCTTCAATAGAAACTGAAATTTTAATCTCACCCTGTAGATGAACAAAATGATGAGCAGGTTTTAGGGATCTTATTTATGGTATGGTATCTTACCTGCTGAAAGATCCACAACTTGCAGGAAATAACTGTATGACATATACATTTGGTTCCTTTAGTATTTACACAATAACTTTAATACCCTAACCTCATTCACCCCTGCCCTTTTAATTTCAATTCAGTTTACCTAATTTCATGTCTTTTTTGTATATAAATGTATATTTATAGTTTAGTTATATTTTTAAAATCTCATTCTATGAAGCCACTGTTTTCAAATATATCAAAAATTTTGATCTCATTTGATAGAAATGTGATTTCCAAGGAGTATCACGAAGTAACATGGTAGCATGTAAGAAACATATTATCATACATGGGCAAAATTTAAAAATATGTGAAATAACACATTTTAGATAAACTGAAGAGGGAGCTTTGAGGACTTAAAAACAACCTAACACAAAATTTGTTTTGTACAAATGCTTCTTATTGGCATCGAGCTGGGAATAGGATTGATCTTGTGCGCTGTCAAAAAAAGCCCAAGTTCTTTTAAAAAGTACTGTGTAAAGTGAATAAATGTGAATCGAATATATTGTTCATTTTACTAAATCAAAGTTTTTCCCACATATGAACTAAAAGCAAGAGATAACAGTAATCTCTTTGGAATTCTTGCCTTGTCAGAAAATCTTACCTTGGTTAGGATATGAAATATGTAGGGATACATTAATCCTTTTTTGTGTCTGTGTTCTGCTACTCTTAATACTTCAGGTGCTACAGGAGGTAATGGAGGAGTGGTAATATCCATATGGTTCCTGGTGGGCATTGACAACAGACATGGGATTTGTGTGCTACTGGTTTGGTTCCCTTTAACTTCAGCTGCCTGATTCCCTGAAGAAACAGTAGAGGAACCTTCCACCTACAATATACAATAAAGTCATTTTTGAAATGGGGAAACATTTTTGCAATGAGAATTACAAAATATTATGAAATTTTAACGATCCAGAAAGCTTTATGTACATTCAATCACATTTGCAACACATTTACAGAAAATAGAACAAACAACCCAATTCACGGTCTCTTCATTCTCACCTTCACCTCTTCTATACTGTAAAACTGAATCGGGTTATTCGTTCTATTTTCTCTAAATGTGTTCCAAATGTGATCGACTTCTTTCTTCTATAACTGAATAATATTCATGAACGATATATCTGGAACAAAGTTCAAACTGTTTGAGTTCCTTTAGATTTTTTTATAAATGGCTTGTTTCAAATCCTGCACCTGAAATAAAGTTCCTAAACCTTTTAACATTTTAATATTTTATCAAAATTAATATTTTGATAAAAATTGAATTGCCATTTGTATATCAAATGCTATTGCTTTTATTCTGTATTCTTTATTTTAATTTTTAAGAAGTGATCTATTTTTCTACTGACTGAACTATTATGGATTAGAGAAGTAGAGTTAGCAGTTCCCCTGCCAATGGAGGAAAACTTGATGTTACACAAATGCTAAAAGCCTTGACAACCCACGGTATAAGGTGAGGTCAGCACCTTTTTCTTTTCTTTTTTGCATTTGTGCACGTTTTTGCATTATGCATAGAAACGAACTGAAAACTATTGCATATTTTTCAACACTAGATTTAAAGTAGATTTAAAGTTATCCGTTCGAACCATTACCATATACATTAGAGAAGGAGGAGGAAGGGTATGAGAAGAGAAAAGAAAAACTAAAGCAGAGAGAGCCTCCTCTGTTTTAGGACAGTGTAATTTGCCTAGGGTGGTAATGATGCATCTTATACTAAGTATTTCTATATGTGAATCATGGTCGTTCCCACAACCTTTCTGTTTAATAGACGAAGTCTTCCTTTTTGGCTAGGTATTTTTTTTATTAGTAGAAACTGATTTTAAAAGCTTGTATTAGTCATGTTCTTTAGCAGGAACTGGGACAATTAATAAGATCTGATTTTATTAAGTAGTATTCTTAGATGCTAAATTAGCTAAATGGTTTATTACAGTTTTTGAATGAACCTATTGTGCTTTGTTTTTCCATTTGTGCCCATGCCACAATAAACATTCTCAGCAGGAAATAAAAAATAAATCTAGTTACATACTGCAGTTATTAGTTTGATGCCATAAAGAATAAATATGTACCAGAATCTCAAGTCAATTCTTTTCCTCACCTCAAATTACATTCATTATTATGCACAGAAAAGTATATCACTTAGATGCAACCTGATTCTTCTCTATCTCAAGTAACGTAATTCATGCTTTTACTCAGAAGCAAACACAACAGATTTCAATGAGTTTAAAGTTCTACACCAGTATGCATAGAACTATCACATTAATTGGCAGTTTTAGGTTACAACTTGCTCAGCCTTCTAAGTATTCGTGAACACTAGGGACTACTTTTCTTCTGCTCTGCACTACTAGCCAAATAGCTGTCAGAGAAGATTATTTTTTCTTGCACAGAAGGAAATGAAAACATTGCTTCATTGGTCAGTGGACGGAGCCCAATTTGTGTCATCGAGGAAAAATGATGGCTGCATCTTCTAGGAATCTAAGTGATTCCATGTCCTCTACCATTAACCAAATAATCATAAAAACACATACACAAATTTCATAATGGTCAACACATTACCTTTGATTGGTGTCCTGGATCCCCACATGCTTGATTTTCTGACTGAGTTCCTATTTTTTCCCAATTCAATTTGTTTCCACCAACATGACTGGACAGAGAAAGAAAAGCCCAGACAAACAAAATATTGTCAGGATTATAATGCAAGACTCTATAAAACAGTATCCAGGCAAAGCACACATTCGTTTTGTGCTATGCTGACTCCAATTATTTCAGAGTAAAGTCAAAGTAATGTGTTCTTCTCTTTGAAAAGACTGTGATAGCTTGATTTTGAGCAACCAAAAGGGCACTCTCTCTCTACCTTTCTCCTTCAGTATGTGTGGCTACTGTTAGGAACGATAGTTACCTAACAGTTGGGTTGGCAACATATAAACGAGGATAGTCATTTAATACTGTTGTATCTTTAATAGAATGTTGTAATTGTGATTGGCTGAGGTTCCTCCAACGGCCATAAGATGGAGCCAGAAACCTGGCTTGTTCTTTTTTGCATTTCCTTTTGCCTTTTGCCTGATCGTCATTCTGCTTGAATTGCTGTGAGTCTTGCAACTATTCGCAAACTCCATTTACTGAACTTTGTTTATGATACTGGTAAAGAAAAGGACTTCGTTTTTGGATTATCCCTGGACTGATTATTTTGAATACTAACTGCTTTAACCGTGTATGATTTGGACTGTTTGTTGGACTTTGTTTACCTGTTTACAGGAAGTAAAACTTACATTTTACTATTCAGTGTATCTTTGTGCTGGTTGTGTGTTATTCATCACCACTCTCACTATGTTTCCCTGAGTGCACGCATTCTCCTAACGGGGAATACCTCTACAGCTACATACTGAAAAGCCATGGACTTCTCTTTCTACAGATAGTCCTTGATCTATGATCATTCAGTGAGTGACTGATCAAAGTTATCATGGTGTTGAACTAGGAACTTATGACTAGTCTCCAAGTTATGGCTTCTGCAGCAACCCCATAGTCATGTGGTAAAAATTTGGTTGCTTGTCAATGGGGCTGTTTAACGATACCCACTGCCTATTTCTCTCCATCTATATCCTGCACTTCAGAGCCCTACAACCCTAGTTGACCTTTGCTGCCTTCTTGCTGTGCAGCTGCTAATGAGGCATGCCTGCCCTGGCCCTTCGCAGAAGGTTTTCTTTCCCAAGTAATGCACAGTAGTTTCCTTGCTGGATCTAGAGAAGATAGCCTTTATCTGGCGAGCAGCTGCTTCATAAAAGATCAAGTCAGGCACATTTCAGCAGAAGCAGAAGCAAAAAATGGCAAAGGTCAACTGGGACAGTGGAGTGCAGCATGGCACTTGGAGTACAAGGTGGTAAAGACAGCTGGGTCTAGGCTGGAAGTGGCGCACTTTCCAGAATGGCAAGAAGCTCCTTTGGCCACACTGATGGATCAGGCTGGGGCTAGGCTTCATGTATGCTGCAGTTCGAAGGCTCTTCTCAGGGCTTGAGAGCTGCAGAGTGCCAAGAAACCCATGAGCAGCAACACAGTCTTTTTCCAATCTTCCTGCACTGGAACACAAGCACGGATTCAGCATCTTATTTCCCCAGCCTCCCAGAGCTTGCATTGTACTGCAATATTCCAGCTAGCTTCCTCACCCCTATGGTGCTCCTGCTCACCTTACCTTGGATTTTCTAGTTCCTGCTTAATGATTTGTATGTCTGGAGTTACAACAGCAATTAGGACTGCAAGAATTACTGTTACTAAGCAATGCATTCATGTGAGGACATTGTTCTAATTGTGGTTGTAATTGTTCTAATTGTGGTTGTAAATCAAGGATGACCTACATTGAAGTTTCAGCCAGCAGATGTAATAGCATTTTCAATGACCATTATTGGTATTTTGCACCCAAGCTGATGTCATGATGCCAGGTAAGTCCTGATTTAAATATGCTTGTTTTACATTGTTCTTTTAGAGTGGCTGCTTTTGCATATTTGCATGATTTATTTATGTCATATTATTTTTCATTAACACACTCTGAGAATATGGAGGGGGATGGATTTAAATATCTATAAAGAATTAAAAGACAAAAATAGTTTAAGAAGTCACATTTGCACCCAAATTATAGATGCAAATATTCAAAAAAGCATTACAAATGGAATCTTCCTTATCCCATCTTACCAATCGCAGCATGATCTTCAGAAGTCTCCCTAATTAAGGAATTTCCACTCTATCTTCATCAAATTTTACAGCTCATACCATTTCCCCAAGATCCCTCTTCTACACTTCAATATTTTTCATGTTGAAGGTCTGCTGAGGAAAAACTGGGAAATCTTCTACCAGACAGTTATTTGCCCAGCTCTGGATCCATCTTAACAAATGTGATGCCAACAGCAGGTTGTTTTAGCCAACCCTGCTGTCTTCCGTTGTACTTACTTCACAGCACCTCCGCTGCCTTCATCATTATCTGAGGAAGATGACGTGGAAGAGGCAGGAAAGTATGTTGAATCAACATGATTGGGGCTCCCACTCTGAGCTGGGTTTATTGGAGAGGATCGTTCATATAATGGAGTATGTTTTCCTTCATGAGGGATGTTGCTGTAATTCTGCTCAGAAAGATTTTTTCCACTTGTGTCCAACGTGATGGCAGGTTCTGACAGACTATAGGGATATGGGCCCTGACCCTGGGCGTTACCATGACTAGAGATAGGCTGGGCCTAAAAGAAAGTATAAATTAAGCCATGTTTTCTTAAAGTTGTGCATATTGCCCACACGCATATACATGCATCATGGGTTCCAACAGCAGAAGGATTAGCAGAAAGGAGGGGAATGTACTTGCCGCGTGCTTTGCTTGCAGGGCAGACTGTGGAATGTTAAGCATCTGAGGAGACACATATGGTGGCATTATACCCGGCATTCCCAAATGATTTGGCCTGCCTGTTTAGAGAAGGAAACAAAAAGGTTTTTTCCCCTCTTATAAATCTGGATGATTATTTAATATGAAAACAAAAGATTTAAATCAGGGTGTTAGGCTTCCATTTTATGTTTTTAATTCCAACCTTATTTATTAAAGTGATTATTTATTTTTGTCTACTACAAATTTCAGAGCTTTTGTCAATTTCTGTTTCATTGCTGCCTCTTTCAGGAGAGATTTTCTATGCTAACTGCCAGTTTTCTGGCAATCTCATGTTCTTTCCAAATCTCTCTCCTTTTCTATTTACATAATAGATCCAGCCCCACCATTTTAGTCTACTGTTTGTTTGTTTTTCCTATAGAGAAGAAGTGCAGTGTACAGGTACTGCATCTGATTCTGTTTTTTAGAACTAGAAGCAGAAGTATAAACATAAAATCTAGAGAGTTTATTATAGCAGTAAAAGATTCATAACTCTCTTGAGTTGAGTAATGTTCTCTTATGGTGGTCAGAAATCAAGATTTAAAATGACAAAGAATAAAGTACACGAAGACAACTTTCTTTTACATACTGTGATCGAGCAGTATTTGTATAGCTACTGATGTTTTTGCTTTTAACTAGTCCACTAAAACTGGGGAAATAGGCCTTACTCCAAAGAAAATAAAGACATTTCCAGTTTTCAGTTTAAGATACAAAGACAATCCATGCAACAAACTAACATTGCATCCTTTGTCAATGTGACTTAACTCAGAATACACTAAATAAATAAATCTCAGAATAATCAGACTGTGAAATAGGAAGACAAGTGTCATAATATCTACTACAGAATAAATCTGTGACTACAATTTGAATTGTTAACTGAAGTAACATCATCAACCAATGAAAACTGACATTTACTCATTTGCTCCAGTTTTGTGCTGCTATTTAAAAAAAAAAACCTAGTCTACTAGGTTTAATAGTAGCAATTAATAGTAAAAGCTCTAGCTTTAGATTTTCATGATTATATGGAATAAAAATTACTTTGTCTTAATTAGTAACAGATTTCATTCTGAACCTACGTAAAGTTGTTTGCCTTTCTTTCAAAACAAAGTTTACCTGACCAATGGGGCCAATATGGCTACTTTTTCATACATACACTTCAAATACAAATAAACTGTATTTTACACTATTCCTACATTTAAAATACTAGTAATGGTCAACCAGTTGACAGGATTAATGTGGTACAACTTATACCTTCTCTATTATTTTACATGACATAAGATAATATTTCTCAATTTCAGACTGATCACTAGAGATTGAAGTTCTAATACAGCTGCAAATTGCCAGCTTGAAAAAAGTTCATTTTTAACCAAAATCCCTTCAATTTCTTACATGAATATAAGAACTTACCTAGGTAATGTGGTGGATGAAATGGCATAGGCTTATTAGTTGCTGAATAATAGGCAACTGCTCTTTTAAATCGTTTAACTTTGTCGTCCGTTCTAGACTAAAAGAATGTTAAAATTAACTTTTATTAAAATTAAATACACAAATGAACAATCATCAATCCTACCAGCATTACTATACAGTTATAAACTTTTTGCAACTGTGTAAAGGCAATCAGCCAAAGTAAGGGTTTCTTTCATGAACAAGTAATAAGCAAATCTGTAGCAATTCTTACAAAGAGAATAATAAAACACAAATAGAAATAAAAGTGTAATTCATGTAATGCAATTCACAAATACTGCAACATATTCTTTAAGAACTATACACCCATGGACTTTTATTCTTCTTTTTACCTGTGAATGTTGAAAAACATCTTTAGCTATGGCATCCAAATCAGAGGTGTCTTGAATATTACGGACATAGTCAGCTACAGCTTTGATCACTACATCACAAGGTGGTAAAACTAACTGGTGTGCTCGTACCTAGAAACATAAACACATGTTAGAACTGCCCTACTCACACTCATACTTATAATAAGTAATGGGGTTTGAATTAAATTCCACTGTAAAATATGCTAGCAAGGAATTCTATTGACAACTTTAATAAATAATAAATAAATCATTTGAGATATTTCTGCAATATTTTTTAAAATAAGAGCAAATTATATTGTTGCTATTCTTCTGATTTGGCAGATTTGAAGCATGTTTCTATATTCATAGTAGTAATTTGATAATTAAGTGGCAGCTACTGAAGTATTTCCATAAGGGATATGTGAGCATAATCAAGTGGAGCCACATTTTAAAACTTGATGGCAATGAGCAAGAAAAAAGTTAATGGAAAAAGAGCAATATGAAAGTTTGCAAACCAGATAAAATCAATGCTTTTAAAAAAATGATTTTAACATTTCAATTATACAGTATCTTGTTTAAAGTTAATTCATTTAAAATGGAGTTAAAATACAAAGAGAGCATATTAATATCTAAATACGTTTTAAGTTCAGCCAACTACAAGGAGCTATTAAAAGCTACTTTTCTTATAAAAAAGAGACACATACAGGTGGGACAGGGAACATCTAATTTCTACAGACAAAAATATAGCGGCACAATAAGCAATAGAATGTACAGGTAGTCTCCGACTCATGACCACAACTGGAATGCAAATTTCTGCTGTAAACTGGTACAATCACAAAGGAAGATGTCACATGACTACACTGACTTCTGAGGGCAATCCTGGCTCTTCCTTTTGTGGTCGTTAACTCGGATTTGCAGGTAGTTAAGTAAACACCCACCCATTCTTGAATTGGTCCCTCTTAGCCTTGCCTGAGCCTCAGTACAGTAAAGGACTGTATTTAAGCCACCCAGAGTTACCCTGTAGTAAGATGAGTGCCCAATACATTTGATAGATAGATAGATAGATAGATAGATAGATAGATAGATAGATGATAGATAGATAGATAGATAGATAGATAGATAGATAGATAGATAGATAGATAGATAGATAGATAGATAGAACACTGCCTCCAGCTCCCTCTACCTACCTATCTCCCCAACCTGCCATCTCTGCCCTTTCAGTCATCTTGCATACTGCCTTGGGCACAGGTTGTTAAGTCCATTTTTTTCAGCACCTTGATAATTTCAAACAGTCACTGAACAATCGGTTAAGTAAAGGACTACATGTATTACTAAGAGCAGTCTTCCTAGCTGATTTATTAAACTTCGTTGTACTATAGTACAATGCCATAGAATTTGTAATGTTTCTGAACTTATGTGAATGAACTTTTCCTCTTATCTGAATTACAGTCTTCATGTTTACATGTTAACTATCAAATTATAACTTTCCAAGATAATTTTTCATTGCCCCTGATGGAAATGCTATTTACCTACTATCTGCTTCTGAAAGTTCTGGATACTGAACAGTTGGATTCTATGTATGTTTTCTACAAAACTATCTCAATTTAACAAGTGTGTAATTTCAGATAAGTGATTTTGTTTAATAGTTTCAAGTGAATATAAGGCAAATCAAAGCAGATCTAATTCTGCAGTTCCTGAAGACAGATAATCAAAGATTTTAGTACATATCCCTGAATTCTATTATTTCATTTCCAACAGACATTTTAACTGATTTTAGCAACTACAGTATGCATAGTTGATCAGGAAATATATTACCTAATGAAAAACTTGGATTTAAAATTGATAAAGACACTCACAGTATTTGTAAACGTTAAAGTTTAAATACCAAAATTCATAACATGTTCTCAACACTTTCAGAGACAATGGAAAATTAAGATAATTCATACATGTATATACATGCACACATATGTGCAATTTAATAATTTTGACCAAAAAAGTTATTCATGTTTCAATAATCTACAAACATCAACCTAATAGCAAATTATTTTTAATAGCTGTTGGCAAAATATGTAAATCAGAATGAAATTTAGTAAAGAATGGCATGGGCAACTGAGTACTTTTCAAAACCGGTTAATATTTAAGGATGTATTGAATAAATATATTCCCTACTTTTCTGATTTTAACAGCATTAATGCAATTTTCAGAATGTTCCCCACTATTACTTATATAACTTCTACAAAGTTACTTAAATTAGGTGATTTTGGCATATCCATTATGCCTCCTCTATTTTCCTTTTTATTTCAACATCCCAACCCTATACAGAGGGTTTTACAAGCAAGCTGCAGAGATCAGATTACTCTTAATTAAGTAACTGTGGATAGGATTGCAGCCTAAAACATGTTTTCCATATTCTAAGTATAATGCATCAAGATATTTAAAACATAATATTCTGGCATATGGATAACATTGCACATTTTATAAAATTTCATTGGATTATGCATACTTTTTATTATTCAAAAACAGGAAAAAATAGAACCCTAAGGCTGCATTCCTATACAATTACCTGGTAGAGTAAAAGGTTTCACTGAACTTAGTGAGCAGACATGTACAGGAATATTACTATTGAAATTGTTCTAATGTAAGTTTTAATAGCCCTGTTAATGGCTTAACCCCAGTTACTAGAAGCCAGACCGAATGAAAACATCTTACAATGCTTCCGAAAGGTCCATGAACTTTAGCAAGTCTCCAAGAGAAGAAAATTCCACAACTGGTCCAGCAGCCACCAAGAATGCCTATTTCTGCATTCCTGTCATATGGATTCTGAACAGAGATGGTACAGTGAGGGGAGAACTTAAGCTAATAGTATAAATTGTTACATGGCATCGAAAATGACGCAGAGTTCATAAATAGATCCAAAGCAACTGAGAGTTCTAAATAACAAGCTTATACTCTGGAATTAAGGTAAGATCTTGACAGCCGTTATTCTAATAACGTAGTCACTGAACTGGTAGTAACACTGGTTGAATCCCACTCCTGTGCAAGTTATATCTATTTGCATACAGACGTATTTTAGCTGTTTTGTTATTTATTTCAACCCTAAAAATATTTCTATTTACAGAAGTGGTAGCCATTAAGTGAACGGAGTTGTTAGAAAATGTCTTGCACGCATTACTTTAGTTATATAAAACCACAAGAAGCCAAATGAATGAATGAATGAAGTCATTTTCAATCTGGTGTTAAAATGCAATTCAGAAAAAGTTGCAAACTCTCTTTGAGACGTTACAAATAAAAAGACCATGCAACTACAGTATTTACAAATGAAGGTGATTCTCAAATAGATCAGAGATACTAGATTTTATCATATCTCACATATACTTTATCGGTAGCATTTATTTTACATGACCACTTCAACATCTGCAGAAAACTCTGTTTCCAGAATTACTATAATTTTGGCAACATATATATCCTGATAAAAAGGGATTACATAATCATAAAAAGAAGAAAAAATGGAGAATTTACTGAAGAAAAGCTCATACGAACGTCATGAACAGTTTCTTTTTGAACTGTTTCTTCAAAAGTGTGGCATAAGAATAGTTAAAATGTATTTAAAACACATCATTAATAAACATAATTGTAGATGCTATTTTAAATTTTGATAGAAAATTCTGCAACTGTATTCTGCAATTCTGTATTAGAAATATATATTTATTACTATTGATGGACATTTACAAATGAAATATTCATCAATATTACATTTTTTCTACACCAATGATCTCCAGATATCTTAGATTGGGAAGGAACACCCATTCTTAAATTGAGAGAATGGTTGATTAGACAAATACATGAGTACTGGTCCTTGATTTACAACTGTTCATTTAACAACAGTTGAAAATATAATAGTCTTGGAAAGTGACTTATGACCCTTCCTTGAAGTTATGATTGTTGTAACATCCCCATGGTCAGGTGATTGTAATTTTGTAATTTGGTTGCCATTCACATTTACAATAGCTGGAACATCTTGCAGTCATGTAATGATGATCTTCAATCTTCCTAGCTGGTTTCCAACAAGCAATGTCAATTCAGGAGGTCGGATTTGCTTAATGACTATGTAATTCACTTAATGTCAAGCCCAAGGCCAAAAAGAACACAGCAAAATCCAGTCAAGTCTAATCTTTTATTTGCTTATATCTAATGGACAGAATACTGCCAAACTAAAGCTATAACCTTCAATTCTACTAGATATATCCTGACAGATTCTAGGGTGTGGCTGCCTTGAAGCTTTTTAACCCCTCCTTCAGCTATTTTGGGACTGCACAGTCTCCTTAATTTGGACCTTTCTCTGGGAAAATCTATATTGTCCAACTTCTATCCACTGATTGCCCAGGTACATAAACTATCATACTTAATAACTGTCTTGTTCATTTAATCACCATGATAAAAATGGCAATAAGATTGGGACTGCTCACATGATAACTTGCTTTGTGATTGCACTGACTTATAACAGAAATTTCAGTCCTACTGTGGTCATAAATTGAGGAGTACCTGTATTGTGTTTATTTGATATCTGATAACAATATTACAAAATATATTTACAAAATAATTTAAATTTAATCCAACTATACAGATATGCTTCAGAAATGTAATGTTTTCAATTCTCACTCTAATTCATTGCCTCAGAAATGTACAAAACTTATGAAAACTCAATTTTTTAAAAAAGAAATATTAACACTGGACTACCAATTTTATTGTGTTGGAAATCAGAATGTATGATTAAGTAAATTAAAATGACTTTTGAAATATCTATAATTCTAGATATAGACAGATAGATAGATGGGGGAGGGAGGGGGAAGGGGAGGGGGGGAGAGAGAGAGAGAGGGGGGGAGAGAGAAAAACCTAGGAGAAAATCTTACCTGAAAAGCAAAGGGAACATTAGAACCCATTTAGAAAACTGGGTGGCAAGGCAACCACTATTCACCCTTAAGAAAAGAATTCTCTGTAGAAAATAGCCTACTGTAAGATTGCATTTTAAACAGCTTAGTGTGGCTATAAAACTATTCAGCTGTTCCAGCATAAAGTTAATGCCCAGAGGAGGGGGAGATCCTGTTAGTAATTATAGTTGCCAACATATGGTA